ATACCATGAAAAAAATATTATTTGTTTTAAACCTACGCAGCATCAGTTGTCTTTGTAAAGGCCGGTGATTACCTCTTGCAGTGAGAGGTTGTTGAATAGACAGTGGAATAAACTATTAGCCTAAATGTCTGATCGGTTTAGGCTATATCATGACAAATGCTCTGAGGGAATAGAAACAAAGCTCCAGGCTTTTCATTATAGTTTTCATTTTTTACAAGACATTGAAAAATAACATTATTCCCTTTTACTTCGCTTCTTTTTTTCTTTATTATTAGTTTTCAGACCCACTAGTTAGTTCTAACTAGGACTAATAAATTAATCTTCGCATTAGTAACCCAGATCTTTCACTGGAAGGCTTTGGTGAACTGTTGTATAATTGGTGCATCTTTCACCACTCGACAGTGCCAGGTACTGATTAGAATATCAGTGAACAGTGAACCTTTCATACATATAACAACAAGAGCTGGTTACATTAGGAAAGGCACTCCTATAAAGATAAAGAACAACTTCTAGAGAAAATACTGAAACAATTACGCCCTTGTATTTACATTGAAAACATACTGAATGGGGACAACGCTCGCATCTTTTTATTATGCTGATTACTAGGGCTGGGCAAAAAAAAAATTTGATTTTTTGATATATCTTTTTTTTAAATGTGGTCGATTCAATATCGATTCTCAAAGGCCACGAATCGATTTTTTTCAATATTTATTTCCGCAAACATTGAACATAAGATTTACGTTAATCTTATTACTAGTCTAATCCACTAGATGTCACCCCCTTATTTGCCTTGCGCGATGTTACAACGGAGAGTCCGTCATTCATTCATTGCTTAAAATGGCGGATTCAGGTGCGTTCCCGACGTCCAACACCACCTTCACATAAAAAGTCAGAGGTATGGAAGCATTTTAGATTTCGCAAGCAGGATGACAAAGATACTGTGGACAAGAACAAAGCTACGGTATATGCCAAACAGTTGATGGGCCCTATTGACTTGACTCCCATAGTATGGAGAAAAATATATGGAAGTCAATGGGGACCAAAACAGTTTGGTTATCCATATTCTTCGAAATTTCTTCTTTTGTGTTCAACAGAAGAAAAGAAATTCATACATGCATAAATGATGACAGAATTTTTATTTTTGGGTGAACTATCACCCAAAAGCCAGTATTAGTTTTCCTACACCGTTCATAGGCTTGCAGCCTCCATGTTACAGCTAAATGCTGTGAGATTTTATGTTTGTTTTGTCTTAAACATAAAATAACCTGATCCTGTTTGATCAAGGCAAGCGACTGTTCTGACTTGTCCAACTTTCAGCATCAGTTTTTCATCTTGCATCAAAATTCTGTCTATTCATATAGTGGGGTTTTGTTTTATTGTACCCAAGTGTACCTAAAATAAAAAGTGTTTAATATACAGGTTTGTGGCTCTTAATTTCCTATTAATTAACCATTTGTAATCTTATGTTCACTGTTCATTTTTTATAAATATAGGATTTGTATTAAATCTATATTCATTCATAAAGTCAAATCGAATTCGAGAATTGAAATAAAAAATCGAATCGAATATCGAAAATCGAAATCGAATAGAAAATCGAAATCGAATAGAAAATCGAAATCGAATAGAAAATCGAAATCGAATAGAAAATCGAATCGAATTGAGAGCTTGAAAATCGAAATCGAATCGAACTGGAACATCTGAATCGATACCCAGCCCTAATTATAACAAGTAATTTCTAAAAAATGTCAGAGGGAAGAATCCCTCAAAGGCATTTAGCAGACACAATTATAAAACATAAGGCAGAAAATGATACGAAATATGCATAGAAAATAAATGTGGTTGTTTTAACTTTAAAATATGTTGTCTTAAAGGGACAAAGTTCACCCAAAAATGAAAATTTGCTCTTAATTTACTCACCCTCAGGCCAACAGGTGCTCCTAAAATTTTGAACGTGCTCCTAAAAAGAAAAGTAAGCGTAGAGCCCTGCCTTCACATAAAAAGTCAGAGGTATGGAAGCATTTTAGATTTCGCAAGCACGATGACAAAGATACTGTGGACAAGAACAAAGCTATATGCCAAACAGTTGATGGGCCCTATTGACTTGACTTCCATAGTATGGAGAAAAATATATGGAAGTCAGTGGGGACCAAAACAGTTTGGTTATCCATATTCTTCAAAATATCTTCTTTTGTGTTCAACAGAAGAAAAGAAATTCATACATGCATAAATGATGACAGATTTTTGGGTGAACTATCACCCAAAAGCCAGTATTAGTTTTCCTACACCGTTCATAGGCTTGCAGCCTCCATGTTACAGCTAATGCTGTGAGATTTTATGTTTGTTTTATCTTAAACATAAAATAACCTGATCCTGTTCTGACTTGTCCAATTTTCAGCATCAGTTTTTCATCTTGCATCAAAATTCTGTCTATTCATTGTATGCATTTGAAATATAGGGTTGGGTTTTGTTTGATTGTACCCAAGTGTACCTAAAATAAAAAAAGTGTTTAATATACAGGTTTGTGGATCTTAATTTCCTTTTATTAATTAACCATTAGCAATCTTATGTTCACTGTTCATTTTTTATAAATATAAGGTTTGTATTAAATCTATATTCATTCATATAGTCAAATCGAATCGAAAATCGAAGTCAAAAATCGAATTGAAATCGAATCGAAAATCGAAATCGAATCGAATTGAGAGCTTGAAAATCGAAATTGGAACATCTGAATCGATACCCAGCCCTAGTGATTACGACGCACTACGTCAGACTTGGGTTGATGCCCAGTTATGTGACATATAAACGTGGCCTGGCTCTCAATGTAAACCTTGGCTGCATCCTAAATTGCATGAATGAGTAAAGCAACACAACGGTGGTAGGTCAACATGACACATGTAGTACATCCGGATTACATTCATACTATACAAAACATACTTTTTTAATGGTTGTGAAGTAAATAGCCTACTTATTCACAAGAAGTATGTCTTCAGAGTATGTGATTCTGGACGCATGCCCTTGGGTTTTTTTTAGGGATCAAAGGCCAAGTGATATCACAAATCAGAAATAATTGTAATACAATTATTGCAAAAGGTTTAGCCTACACCAATAAAGTTTAATCTAAAATCTAGATTAAATCAAGTTTTATCTAATAACTCTGTTGCACCAAACTTTAAACCTGGTTTAAAAATAAGCTGTATTACATTTAAACCATCATCTTGATCCTGGATTTAATTTATATTTAAGATAGATTAACTTTAATCATGTTGCTCCATAACTTTAAACTCAGATTTAAATCTCAATTAGGGATTAATTTTAAATTTACAGGTGAGGAGGTTTAAATGAAATAAAGTGCACCTACAGTTACAATTATGTGGCTGATTGAACAAAGACAGAAACAGCGGGTGTGTCGTCAGGTCTCAGAGAGGTGTTTATTATAAATAAAAATGATCTCACGCCCGCTCCACGCGTGGCTGCTGGGCGGCGCTGCCATAAAATATACTCCATTAATTGATACTATAAATATATTTCCAGGATTATGAAATCCGTATGCACTGCCAGAAATTTATTCATTGCTTGCTTGATCAGCCGTTTGAATAATGGTAGCAGTTTATTAAGACGGCAGATATTTTACAAGTTTATTTCCTTAACTTATGTCAGAAAGAGAATTTGGTAGTAAGCAAAGAAAAAATGTTTGGAATATTAGCATTGTTCCTGTTTAATTGCAATGGCGAATCCATCATGGCGGAGAAAATTAATCGTAGATGGAGGTTTTAATCGCAGGTTAGAGTTCTAATCCCTGATTTGTTAATCTATGTTTAAAATTAAGTGGTGCAACACAACTCGATTTACAATAAAACCCAGATCAACAAATCCTTGATTAGCTCTAAACTTTACTTAAATTAATCCTTGTTGGTGCAACCCACCCAGAATGTTTAAAATGGTTTCATAGATATTTAAAAGGTGGCATAAATGCAAGTCTTTCCTATATATAACATTCAAATACTAAAACAACAGCATTTCATTCATTCATTTTAATAGTACCACTGTTTAAGCACCACTGTTTACAGAACTCTGGTAAGTTATGCTTCAGTAAGCAAGCAAGATTTATTTAGTAGTACTAACAGTTCAGACTGATTCAAAATGGTTTTTGATTCAAAAAGAATTACTGATAAATTAATTAAAAAGACGTTTGCTTTGATTCACTAAGAAGAACCGAATGACAAGAGTTTTTCGGATTGTTCGCTGTGTTTTGGGATGTAGCTACAGAGATGATGTTGTTGAGTGTATTTTATTACAGTTGTTCCGTCTGCATGGACAGAAGAAAGCAAAATCCGTTTTTTTCTAAAGTCTAGGTTTCCATCTCTAAAAAAGACGCCTTGTTTATAATGTCAGCAGCCAAAGTATGACCCAGGCTGACAAGAGTTAGTTCAGTAACGGGATTGTTCGCTGTGTTTTGGGATGTAGCTACAGAGATGATGTTGTTGAGTGTATTTTATTACAGTTGTTCCGTCTGCATGGACAGAAGAAAGCAAAATCCGTTTTTTTCTAAAGTCTAGGTTTCCATCTCTAAAAAAGACGCCTTGTTTATAATGTCAGCAACCAAAGTATGACCCAGGAACATTACTGGAGCATCCTGCAACGTAATTCCGCGACTGAAGCAGCAAAAGCTGAAGGCAAAGCATCTCGACAGCTCATAACATCTTGACACAGGTTTAATGCACTCATGGAGGAATATAAAGCGTGATGACGACTGAATGGACGGTTGCGTCCTCCGTTATCTTATAATAGCGCAAGAAAACATTTGAAAACACACCGTCCGACCTGCCAGTCATCACTCACACACAATTTCTCACACCATATCACCTTCTGTGTGCTTATCAAAAGAAAACTGAGTCCCTTTCCTCAATGCTTCCTTCCAAGCGTTTAACTATGTAACGTTACTACCACACGACTAAACAGCAAACATCACCAGCTTTTAAAATGCAGCAGGGATCACTTACGTTTCAGTCACCGATATGCTCCATGATTTTAAGGCAGTATGCAGATCAGATCAGTGTTTTGATACACGGCGACCTCCGTCCGCAATTCTTCCACTTGCACTGCATTCTGGACTCGCCCTGATGTGACGTCACCGCGCATTACGTCAGAGTTGTTGCTCTAAAAGCACCGCCTCGTTCACAGATCGCGTGAGTCAGAGAGCATGCATTGTCCTCGTAAGATTTGAAAAAAAAGAAGTGTATTTTAATTTGTTTATTCGTCTGCCTGTTTTAAAGAACGTCTCATGAAAATGTTTTCGATGCATGATTTACAGACATAAACGAGCGCGTGACAGGTGCGATAACGGAAGACCTTGACTGCCATCTAGTGGTTGCAGCCTAAAGCACTTCTACATAATAAAATGCAGGTGGATGAAGTGAAATATATATTCTGTAAACCCCGTTCTACTGTATCTTATTCCATTCTGTAGCACCTGCCATAATAACATAGCAATTATAACATGCACGAGTTTGAATAAAGGTGAAATGAGCAATATTTAGATTTTTGTAATTAGTAATAAATCCATATACTGGAAAAAAAATAGTATTTTTTCCAGTATATGGATAACATTACAAAAACCTACTTTACTTTACTACTTTAAAACCTCTAAACCCTTAAATTAGCACGGGATCATAGAAAAAGGGGCTTTCGTTTGCATTAACATTTTACATTTATTCATTTAGCAGAAGCTTTTATCCAAAGCGACTTACAAATGAGGACAATAGAAGAGTCTATATATATATATTAGGGCTGGTAAGCGATTAAAATTTTTTATCTAATTAATATATGTGTGTATATATATATACATACACATATGTATGCTCGTGAAACTACACCGTAGGAGTTTTACTTCAGAAGTGTTTGTTATGGCAGAGAGGAACAGGTTATCTCCATTTTACAAAAAAATTAAAAATCTTTTCTGAGAACTAGAGGAAGCGAAACTATTTCAAAGGCAAGGACAGACAAATCAGGTGTGGCATTGGTCGTGCACCGGCCCTCATCTGACCACACACACCTGCTCACTGAGACGGAGAGCCAAAACTCAGTCAAGAGTGTGCGACGATCAGTATGCTTTAGGGACGTAGATGAAGGGAACACTTTTAAAATGTACTTTTAATTCTTCACATATTTTCTGTATTTTTTTATATGTCAGCTTCTGGCATATGCATGTATTTTGAGAAAATATGGTGCTTAATTTTAAAGAGAGGTCGCCTTTCAACTTTTTGATGTGCGTAATTTGCATTGCATCTCTTGGATACGGAGCAAACGTCGATGTTCCTTTTGAACCGACTCCTACTGCTCCATCTAAACTTCCTTGGAGCCCGATGGAGGAGACTGATCCTGACCTCGACCCAGGTGAAACCACCCAAGCGGTGTTTACACTGAACTACCCCCGCATTCAGCTCCCGTTTGAGATTACTTTATGGGTGCTACTTGCGTCCTTTGCCAAAATAGGTGAGCGATTACACATTCTATGGCAAGCTGTTTTAACATATATTCTTTAGACCACCTACTAGTGACTTTGATGTTACTAGTATACTTATTTTAATTACTAAGTAGTCCAGTACTGACTCTATTCCAGTTTTACTAGCAGCCTACGTATTTATCAGATACTAGCCTATTTGTTTGGGAAACATTATATGCACTATTTCTTATCTTAATTTTCATTAGACTTTTTTTACTTAGCTGTATGACATGGCTAGTCAGAAAGGTAACTTTATTCTATAGTTAATTTAGAATCTTAATGAGATTTAAAAAAATGGTAAAAAGGTATAAAAAAATACTAGAATATAAAATGTAAGAAATAGATTCAGTAAATTAGATTTAAGGATGAATGAATAGGGTGTCACGTGTAGCTATGGAAAGCACACAATGCAGGAGTAGAAATAAACAAAGTCCTTTTAATAATAAATCCACAGACAGGAGAAACACAGGAGACAAACACACAATATCAACATCAATACCGGAACTAATGAGATGGGGCAAAACACAGGGCTTAAATACTAGAAGAGGTAATTAGGGAGAACTGAAACAGGTGTGGAGCTAATAAATCGGAAACTAATAGACAAGGGAACTCAGGGAAATGTGGAGACAGAGGGTGCGTCTCAATCAGCTCCCTTGTTAAGTAGTAAGGGCTCTGATCAGGGAGTCGGCCATTTTAAGGGCTGTCTCAATCGCGAAATCCTTCCAGTGCACGGGAACGTTTGCTCCGTGTAAAATCCCACAATGCACTGCAAAAACTATGGAGCATAGGCGCTCACTATGCTTCCTTACCGGAAATAATGTCACATTTCTGAAGCGCGAAACATAAACCACACGAGCCAACTCGCGCTGAACGATGTGTTTAAAGAGAATAAAAAATAAATATCAAAAAGAGATCGGTCCTGTCTGTTGTTTATTAATTCCAGTGATGATGTTCTACCATGTTGTCCGTTGACGTTGTATGTAATCATGTCACTGGAATTCGACTGATCACGGTCCCAACGTGCAGTAAGTCAGGGAACTTACCAGTGCCCGAATTCGTGTACACGATCTACTGGTCCACGAGCTCGGGAGCTGATTGAGACGCACCCAGAAACAGAACATAACTGTGAAAGTTCGCCCCCCTCCTGGAAGACGCGTCCTCACGCCTATAAACAGTCCAACAGAGGAGGGAGGGTGGGGGTTCGGAAGGCGGGCGTGGGGCAGGCAATGGGAAAGGGGCATAGTATAGTTCATAGGGCCAGGGCGGAGTAGATGGAGGAGCCAGGAGCAGAGAAGCCAGATGGAGATCCAGAGACCAGCCAGGACGAGGCCCCAGGGCGGAGTCGAGGGAGGGAGGAGCCATGGTGGAAAAGGCCTTGACGATACCCTGGGGATGACTGATGGAGAGGGAGCAGATGGAAGAGGAGTCCAGGATGAAGCAGAGCAGACGGAGAGCCAGGGCGACACAGAGGATCCGGAGGGCCAAGGTGGAGTCAAAGGCTCAGGCGACCGATGCGGGGATCCGGAAGACCGCAGCGGAACCGGAGCAACTGAGGACGAAGGTGGAGCCAAAGGGAAGGAGGAGCCTGACAGAGCCGGAGGGACGGAGTGACGAGGCGAAGCCAGAGGAGTGGAGACCCGAGGTGGCGGATGGTCGACGACTGACCAAGGCGGAGCCGGAGGGACGAGAGAGCCCGGTGGAGCCAGTGGGATGACGGGCCAGGGTGGAAACGAGGGAGCTAGGAGCCAAGGCGGAGCCGATGGGTCGAAGGACCGACGTGGAGTCCAGGACTCGGAGGCTAGAGGCGGAGACAGGGGATCCTCACGCCTAGGCGGAGCTGGAGACTGGAAGTCCTGAGGCAGATCAGAGCGCCCAGATGGTGCTGACTGAGGGTCTGAATCGCAGCGAAACCCTCTTTTGGACCATTCGCTGGCAGGCATGCCTTACACCGCTCGCTTAGGCTTGTGCAGTAAAAGACGCAAAGCGAGCAGTCAAGGAAGTGAGTAAGGCACACCAGATCTAAAAAGTCCCTGGTGTGGTCCTCCAGCAAATGGTCCTTCTGCTCCAGGCAAAGGAGTTGGACGGCTGGTAAATCCATCCGGGAGAGGAGAAAAACAAAAACAAAAGAAAGAAAAACACCGCAATAATAACTTGGACTTCTGGTATTCTGTAAATTGTAGCTATGGAAAGCACACAACACAGGAGTAGAAATAAATCGTCGTTTTAATAATAAATCCACAGGCAGGAGAAACACAGGAGACAAACACAATATCAACATCAATACCTGAACTAAGGAGCTAGGGCACAACACAGGGCTTAAATTCTAGAAAAGGTAATTAGGGAGAACTGAAACAGGTGTGGAACTAATTAATCAAAAACCATGGAAACTAATAGACAAAGGAACTCAGGGAAATGTGGAGACAGAAACAGAACCAAAACAGAACATAACTGTGACATAGGGTACTTATAAAACATTTTTCCCTTTTTAACCACACACACACACACACACACACACACACACAAATATTAAGTAACAAGTATTGTTTTTTTCTGAATAGGTTTCCATGTTTACCATAAGATCACGGTCTGGGTTCCAGAGTCATGTTTGCTGATCTCCATTGGTCTCATAGTCGGGGGCATCATGCACTCGTTGCACGAGAAGCCGCCGTCAGTGCTCACCTCCAACACCTTTTTCCTCTATATGTTGCCACCCATTGTTCTAGACTCGGGCTACTTCATGCCCACTCGGCCTTTCTTTGAGAATTTCGGCACGGTGCTGTGGTTTGCTGTTGTTGGCACCTTGTGGAATTCTATTGGCATTGGCATCTCTCTATTTGCCATCTGCCAGATCGAGGTGTTTGGTGTGCAGGACATTACACTGCAGGAGAACCTCCTCTTCGCCTCCATCATCTCAGCCGTAGAACCAGTGGCTGTCCTCACTGTGTTTGAGGACATCAGCATCCATGAGCAGCTCTATATTGTGGTATTTGGAGAGTGCCTGTTCAATGATGCTGTCACTGTGGTAAGTGATGTGTGCACAAGGTTTGTAGATGTACAAAACCAAGTGATAAAGGTTTCAAAAGGGGGTTTTCGTAGTGATGCAATAGAAGAACCATTTTGGGTTCCCCAAAGAATCTTCAGTTAACATTTCTTAATTTTTCTTAGTGTGAAACATAAATAGAACTATAAAGAACCTTGTGTGCAATGGAAGGGTTCTATGGATGTTAAAGGTTCTTTATGGAAACATCAATGCCAATAAAGAACCTTTATTTTTAAGAGTGAGTGAGTTAGAGAAAGGGATTTGGAACAAAGATTGAGACTGATCAGCCATACATTGCCATAGGGAAAATAAATGCTTGAAACTGAAAATGGTAAAAAGGTAAAAAATGTTACTAGTACATAAAAAGCAGGCTACTAGTAAATTAAAAATAGATACAAATTAAAAATAGATACAGTACATTTGGCAATGAGGACAAAGAATGAGACTTGTGAGCCATACATTGTCATACTCTCCATGGGAAAACATGTGCTTGAAACTTGCTTTTACTTGGTGCATTACTTACAAATATTCTTTTATCAAGAACTGTTTTGAAGATTGTGCCTGAATAAAAGCGGGCTGACATAGTTATGTCATTTAATCAAAAAGTATCACAATTAGTTTTGAAAAGAAATACACTTGTATAGAATCTCCTTTCAAATCTTGCCCTAGTAACAGATTACTTGAAATCCAAAACTCAACACAAGCCAGTGTAATTACTCAGTCATTTGATACAGGCTGAAACACCATGGTAAACACAATGTGTATAAACATTGTTGCTTTCTTTATTGTGTCAAACATAAATTAAATACTTAAGCACAATTACATTTCTTATTTTATTAAATTTGAACTGGAGTAAAGAGAAAAGGAATAGTAATAGAACAGTAAGAGAAAGAAGTCTTTGTACTTTTGCTTCTTTCTACAGTAATATACAGTACAAGTTAATACAGTTAATATACAAGTACTTGCTACAATATTCGTATATTAACATTATTGTTTTTCCCCACTCAGTGATTGAAATATTTGTTATCTGCAAAACACACACAGTACTCAGCATAAATAAGTACACCACCTCTAAACAAATACTACATTTTTTTCTTAATGATCACTAATACAATTCATGAGTTGGTAAAATTCAATACTAAATAAAACAGAGATTCAATTCAATACTTTAATAAAAACAGAGAAAATATGTAATGAATAAGTATAATGAATAATGAATAAATAAGTAAATTAGCCAATTTTGTTCAAATAAATGCTTGCAAAAATGAGTACAAGGTTGGGAATCAAAAATCAATTCCAATTCCAGAATCGGATACTTGTTGTAAAATTAAAAATTAAATTAAAAAAATTTAAAATTAAATTAAAATTCCACCTATCAATTCCTGTGTGCGCATATTTTATTTTTAGGTGGCGAAAAGGGGCTGTTAAAAATGTATTTGTCTTTGAATCATTCATTCAAGAGATTCATTTAAAAACACTGATTCATCCAGTAACAAAACAAGACAAGTAAATCTTGAGTGAGTCATTGAATTATTCATTCATAAATTCCATGAGATTTTGTTTAGTTGTCTAATTATTTTTTTCTTCAGAATTGTGAGAGAACTACACACTCCATAAAAATAAAAAAAAGTCTCAATTTAAAAACTTCCAGTTTTTATGTAGCCGGCTGATTTTTGTTCGTGGTATTCAGCAGCAATTAAATGGTTTGCAAAAAAAGACAGAGAATAAATATGTTTGATATCTAAATGTTTGATTTTCATTTTTTTTATTGGAATCGATAAGCAGAATTGGAATTAGAATTGATCAAATTCAAACGATACCCAACCCTAAGTACACGCTTGATTAAATTAAATAAGTATGTCCTCAAATCTTATTTTCATGAATAATTCTGACATGCTTTTTTGTTCATTAATCAAGCAGACTTGCTAAAATATTATATCTCCAAAGAGCCCTAATATGTCTCCTAAGAAAAGAGTAATTGCTGAATTTGTGAAGTTTTAAAGGGGGGTTACTCATTTATGCTGAGTACTGTAATTATGGCTTTCTTTGTTTAATTCACATGGTTTGATCATTTTGTTGTACATGGCAAGTAGTCTTTGTGAATGTTTTACTCTTTGTGATGTTCTGCATGTGTTAATCATCACATTTGTACTTGTAATATTAGTAATTTAGCATATATGTGTCATAATTTTGTGTTTTGTGAATCAGATTGTGTATTATTTATGTATAAGTAGTTCTCACTGTCTGTTTCAGGTGCTCTATAATCTATTCAATCATGTAGCAGCGATGGAGGTGGTTGAAGCCGGAGACGTTTTTCTGGACATAGGTCGATTTTTTGTGGTTGGTTTGGGCGGTACGATTTTCGGTGTACTGTTTGGCTTTGTGGCAGCCTTCACCACACGCTTTACAGGAAAAGTGAGAGAGATCGAGCCTCTAATCATCTTCCTGTACAGCTACCTGGCCTACCTCATAGCTGAGCTCCTTGCCATCTCCAGCATCATGGCGTACGTAAGGACTCCTAACTGCATTTTTGAAGAAAATAAAAAAATGAATTAGCACTGTTTTGGCTTTTCCTGAATGTTGTGTTCCTGTTTCTACAGTATTGTAATCTGCGCCTTGACTATGAAGTATTACGTTGAGGAGAATGTATCCCAGCGCTCCTGCACCACTATTCGGCATGTCATTAAGATGGTTGGAAGTGTGTCGGAAACTCTGATATTCTTCTTTCTGGGTGTTGTTACCATAACGACAGAGCACGAGTGGAACTGGGGCTACATCCTCTTTACTCTGCTGTTTGCTTTTCTTTGGAGAGGCCTGGGTAGGGGAGATTATAAAGAATTCCCAAATTACTAAAAGGAAGTTTTTAATAGTAGCAGGATGTTTTCTTATTGTCATTGTTTACAATTAAACAATATTGCATGATTTCAATTGCAATAATGCAGTTACACAACAATTCAGCACACAAGAATGGTATAATTAATAGTAACATAGATGGACACAATATTGCCAGTTAGTTTGCCCATTTTTGCTCCACCAACAGGAATAGTTCCAATCAAAGCACAATCAATCGTCGCATCTTCAAGCAACACACAGTTGTGGTTCCTTATGGAATGAATCAGTTTTGAGCGGTATAGTGAATGATTCGAAATTATAAATACACAGGCTGCATCTGAAATCACATACTCTCTTGAGTACTTACTTTGAATAAGTAATTACTTCAAAAATATTGTCAATATAATATGAATGCGTGTAGTATAAATGGAATTATTATGGATCTCTGAAGTTGTAGGTCATCCGGGAATTTTTGGCCTACTCTTTTATGAGTACTGTGAATTCGGACATACTTCTTTTGTCACATACTGTTTTTCACCTACTATATAGAAGGGAAGCATGCAGTATTTTGGATGCAGCTATTATTGTTTTGTTACAAGTATGAATCAGCATTGTGAATGAACAAATGTTGAGAAGGATTCAACTCCGTTGAGAAGGAAAGACAGTTAGCCAAAGACACTTGTTGCCACCTACTGGCCTAAAGATGAAACCTGTAAAATCCACATCGCTAATATAAACTATAATAGAATAGAACTTTAATAGGATATAAAGTTAATAAAATTTAATTTCTTTAGCCATTGTTAAAGGACATAATTATTTGTGTTATTGGCAAAAATTTAACATATTTTCTTTTTCCTTCAGGGATCCTGGTCCTAACGCAGATCATTAACCCCTTCCGCACAATTCCTTTCAACTTCAAAGATCAGTTTGGTTTGGCCTATGGTGGGTTGAGAGGAGCTGTGTCTTTTGCCTTGGCCTTCACTCTCCCAGACAGCATTGGCCGTAAGAAGCTGTTCATCACAGGCACGATTGTTGTCATCATCTTCACAGTGTTCATTCAGGTACTGTACCTACTCACAAGAGCGAATGAGTCTTGCTTTAGGAGTGCTTGTGTGCAAACTAGCCAAGAATTCCTTTTTATGAATCATCTTTACAAGATGCAATTTCCCATAACTAGAGCTAGACTGTTGATGCAACAACTCATTAGTAGCTGACTAACTCACCACTAGTTTGTGCTTTCCATTTCTAATCTCTGTTCTGCTCCACTGAGCTCAAATGAGACTAGCTTTACTGACTGCATTAATTATTGTGGGTTTTATTAAAATGTGACCCTGGACCACAAAACCAGTCTTAAGTCGCTGGGATTCCAGATTTTCAAATAGTTGTATCTCGGCCAAATATTGTCCTCTCCTAACAAACCATACATCAATGGAAAGCTTCTTTATTCAGCTTTCGGATGATGTATAAATATCAATTTAGAAAAATTTACCCTTATGACTGGTTTTGTGGTCCAGGGCCACAAATGGTCCAAAGTATAATTTTTTTCTCCAGTGTGGGGCCCAGAAACCAGAAATGTTGCACTGAACAAAGACTACTATGTGTTTTATGGGAAAGTTGAATGTCTTCTCAAATTATTTTTTATTATTTAGTATGTGAAGTAGTGGTGCATTGGAATTATTCATGTTTATTTTGTTGCTTCTAATGTCCCTTGTGATATTTCACAATTTGTTATCTATATTTTTATCCATTATGCTTCACAGACAGTGTCTTACACTAATAAGCATACATTACCCAATGATATCACAGCCAGGGAGATCCTGATGAGACGCCACACAAGCTTACGACGCAGCCTCAGAGCTGGAAGCTTCCATGGCACTGTATGTAACACTATATAAATGAGAGCACTTATGTATACTGGGTACAGAATGATATGATGTAAGACAAAAACCTAAAGACTGCTGTCTAAAATCAGAACACAGAGTCATACATAATGATCTATAGAATATATACACTTCTAAATATGGAAATGAGAGTCGTTGACCCTTTCCTTGCTCTTTTTCTACCAGAATGCTGCAAAAATGTCCCAGAAGTATTTCTCTCTGCCTATGGGCCGGAGTCTGAACTCTGGATTTCCTTCAGGGAGACTCGGTAACACTGGTGAGAGAATGTACTGCTGCTTAATATTTTTGTGAAATATTAAGTGATTTTCTTTTTCTCCAGGATTCTTTGCTTAATAGAAAGTTCAAGAACAGCTTTTATTTGAAGCAGTTTTTTTTTTTTTTTTTATGTGGTTGTGTATATGGCTACTGCGTTTGTCATGCCATCTAGTGGTAGTTTTAAATAATACACTGATGTGAGTCAAATGATTTTCATAACTATTAATTTTAAGCAGCTGTATTGACAGTAATATTGATAGTACTCTATGCTGTTGTCTTTGCAGAGGTGTAAGGAGTACCTAAAAACCATACTTGAGTAAAAGTACTGATACATGCATGGGTACAGGAACCGCAGAACAACAGTGATGTGCAGCACTCTTTGATGAGGAGACCACACTGGCTGCCACAGAAACCACATGACAAATGAGTTCACTGTTAATAGTGCTGGACTGCTATTACTTGTGGAATTGATCTCACCACTTTGACTTATAAAAGCTAAAATAATTATACTAGAGAACATAGAAAGAACTTATTCCATGTGAAACACAGTCACAAAATATTCCTATGTAAGAACTTGCATAAAATCTTTCTATGACACTAAAGATCAGAAATTGTAATATACAGTATATATTGGTCTGCTTCACATGCATTTAGCTGATATTGGTAAAACTGATAAATTGGGTGCATTGTAATTTTCAAGTTTTTTTATTTATTTTTTATTTGTAATTCACTAAATTGAACTTTGGCTTTGGAAACTTTGGGATATATTGCTATTTTTCAGATTTAACTGGATTTTAGTAAATTAGATTATTTATTTGTTTTAACAAAAAAATTGTTTTCTTTCCACATCATAAGCAATTACTTGATTCATGAAAGTTAAATTAATATATAGGACATAACATTACTTTTGTATGTATTAATCTCGCTGTAAAATATACATGGGTACAAATATTAAAGTATAATATAGTATCAGCATAAACAGTCCTCTAATGTGTGAGATCATTTTACCCTGGCATGCAGCACATACTTTTTAAATGAACTATAAAAGAAACTAAAATAGCAGGATTTTGTGTAGGCTCAGGCTTCTTTTATTAAAATAAAGTATTTGTATAATAATATGGTATTCCTGACAATAACAAAAAGCCTACATTTAATAATTGTAAATGCACAGATAAATTCAGATGATGATAAAAAAAAAAAAAGATAACATTTCCCACACATACACAACAAATGTTTGGTGTCAGTAAGAGTTTGTATTCAGATGAAAAAAAAAAAAAAGATAACATTTCCCACACATACACAACAAATGTTTGGTGTCAGTAAGAGTTTGTAATGTAATGTTTTTTTTTTTTTAATAGTTCTCTTATACACACCAAAGCTGCATTTAGTTGAACATAAATACATTAAAAACAGTATTATTGAATTAAATATTATTACAATTTAAAGGGGTTATCCGATGCCCATTTTCCACAAGTTGATATGATTCTTTAGGGTCTTATTGAAAAGTCTGTAACATAGTTTGGTTAAAATTTCTCGACGGTAGTGTAAAAAACAAATTTTTTTACCCTGTCAAAAACAGCTCTTTTCAGAGCAAGCGGTTTTGTAGCATTTTCCTTTAAATGTTAATGAGCTCTGCTGACCCCGCCCCTCTCTTCCGAGCTGCTCTCAGAGAGACTGTTTACTTTAGCCGCATTCATCGTGAAACTTG